TCGCATGGTTGGATTCTAAAGCCATCAAAAGAATCAATTTTGTGATTTACTGCTACAATTAATAATTGTCCCAGTAAATGTCCAAACCCTACAGAACTGGTGTCTTCAGAGAGCACACTACAGTAGGTAATAACTTCTCTTTGAAAATATTTCAGATTAGTTTTAAAAATTGTATCTGCTGTAACTGTTAATACAATGGTGAATATAATTGTGATTCTACTGTTTATTTCCTAATATTATGAGTCATACACATGCATTGTGCATGTGTTCTTGGTTCTGTGTACTTTGCTCACAAGTTCAGTCTTTCACATTGAAAAAAATATGCATATGCTGTGTTGATGTTAGTGGTTTTATAATAAAGCACCCTGCTTTATTACTTAATCATCTCTACAATGGCATTTTCCAAAGACTCCCGAGGTATGTTCCTCTATGAGTACGTTCCTCTAGAGCTCAGTTTGCATTTTGCCACGGCCCTAAAACCTCAGATGATATAGTCTCTTTGAAACGGAACGCATTTCCTTCACAGCGTGTACTGCAGTTTTAAAATGTCAGCCACATGAATCGAATATGTGACCAAAGACTACATGCCACACAAGCTAATCACATGAAGTCATATCCACAGTATGCCAAAACAATCATGTACACATCAATGAACTGCAGACTGATCAGTATACTGTATATACAGTAAATACAGCATGATACCGTATTTCTAAAGCTACTACAGTATAGTATGTGTGAAATATATTTTCCTGTGTTTTCATGTATTAGTACAGCAAATTCTCCATTTGAATTTTTATCTATAAAAATAAACTGTGTGAATAGCAAACCTGTGTGGATCACATAAATCTCCAAATCAAACTAGACCACCATTGAAACCAACAGACTCTGAGCAGGGTCTGAATGATACTGGATCACGACTGACAGGAAGCTAAGCAAACTGCAGGGTTGAAGGAACACAAGCAGTAGTCCAATAGGGTTTTGGGTAGCATACTTTGCCTAGTATCACAGTATACAGTATCTGAGTCACAGCTAATTTTCTGTACCTAGTCTATATACTGTACATACAGTATATTGTATATATTGTATATGAAATCTGGAAGGATTTAAAATACCCAGCTTAATGCCATATGTAACTATTAATGTTTTGCATGTTGTCTATGCAATATTTAACTGTTCGCTTTTTATCCAAAGACACTCGGTATTTGTCTTACTAGGGATTGATTGATTGTCCTTTAGGAGGGTTGCTTTGGTATTTCGGGCTCTGCAGTAACCAGCTTTATCGCATACTGCAGCTTATAAAAATCTAAAGAATGGAAGAGCCTCTTCCACTCTGGAAACAGAGCAGATGGTAGGCACATTGCCCTCCCTCCAGCTGTGTGAATTATTAACACATTCATCCTCTCTTATTCTTTCTCATTTCAACAAGTACCCACTATACAATAGCACATTACTTTCAAGCCTGCTCTTTTCCATCTCTCATTGCACTTTGTTGAAAGATACCAAAAGAGAAAAGAAGTTACCAAATTTCCCTTAAGGTAAGATTTTTTCATAAGCTCCTGTTTTAGAGAAAAACTATTTTTAAAAGTTCTTCATTACTTTTCTATGCAAAAAGCAATATATCTAAATCATTTTGTGTCCTTCCTGAACACAGTGCAGGTTCTAAGGTTTGATTTTTGGTATTACATATGGTATGTAATAAAGTTAACTTTTCCTACTCGTTGTCATTGTAATATATTTGTTACTTTTTCTTCCACTTAAAATTGCATTTATGTTTTTCTATCTCATTACTGAACAAATGTATGCTTTTCTAAAATAAATACAATAAAGGTTGAATGCATTAATGACCCAGGGATATAATTATCAAAGTAATGAATTAAAAAATATACATTGTTTCAAATTGCTGTTTAAATGAGTTTCCATGGAAACTCGTTTTATGGAAATGAGTTTCCATGATCATTAGCATTAAAGTAAAACTACACAAAAGCTTACTGTTGCAATTTGCCTTTTATTAATACTTGGTGTTTTATTTGTATTTTAAACAAAACTCTGTACTGTGGTTATGTTTTCATGGTTAAATTGAACAGCATTTAGATAACAGTGGCCTATACATAGGTACCAGTAATGACAACTTAATTAACACTGATTTGAATTTAGAATGAAAGTAGAACCATTAAAATAAAATTATTTTTCTACAATGTATCTGTCTAGATGCATGGGATTTGGGTTACGGTTAGAAAATAAGGATTTTAATGCCTTTTTTATTAATTTAAAATAAATGTTGTTTTGTTTGTTTTACAAGGTCAAACCTGAGGAACCAAATATGACCTTCTATTTTTGTTTTCTCTTTCAATTTGGTATCATGTATTCCAAGTCTGTGGCTCAATCACCATGTGAAAAAAGGTGCAACTGTTGGGAGGAATTTAAATTTGTGAACTGCTCCCGTGCTGCTTATAACTACATTCCTCGTGATATTCCTTTATTCGCAGAGTACTTTGATCTATCCAAAAACAATCTCACAGTAATTTCTAGGGGGGCTTTCAGATCCCTTTGGAAGCTGAAGGTGCTGTTAATTAATGACAACAACATCGATTTCGTTGGGGATGGTGCTTTTTCTTGCCTTGAAAGTCTCCAGAGATTGGATCTCAGCCGCAACAAGATCTCCATTATTACTAGTGGATTTTCCACTGGCCTGGGTTCCCTGAGGGAGCTACATCTGTCAGAAAATAAGCTGAGGTCCTTAGGCAGCAGGAGCCTTCAACAGCTGGACAACCTGCAGAAGCTCTACTTGAACAACAACAGCATTAGCTTCATTGAGAACAGAGCCTTTAGTCGCATGACCTGTCTCAGGAAGCTACACCTTGGGGAGAACAAGCTGATAACCCTTAACAATGGCATTTTTTCCATGTTAAAATCACTGGAGGTTCTCATCCTGGAAGGAAATGCAATCAATTCAACTGAACTTAATGTTTTCACACCCTTAAACAGCTTAGTCATACTAAACTTAGTCCATAACAATTTGAAGACTGTCAAGGTCAAGGCTTTCCTCAGCATTCATACCTTTGGGACTCACATTTTATTGGCAGGCAACCACTGGCACTGTGACTGTGATCTCCAGCGCATCTTCAGGAAACTACGTAGTGTGCAGAAGCTCTTTTTGGATGATTACTTCAACTTGACGTGCAAAGAGCCACGTGAGCTTAATGGCTACAGGCTTGTAGAAGTAGACAATGAGCTATGCATCGGGGAGACAGTAACAGTCCTGATCATCACCTTCACTGTTCTAATCACTGTGGTGGCAGCCATTGTAATGGCAGAAAGGAAAAGGAAGAAACATACTGGCAAGCATTGGAGTGAAGATAGTGACATCAGCTATGATTCTCAGAACTAGCCAGCCCTGGTGACACAGAAACTATAACTTTCTCACTTAAATGTAAGATACAGTTGTGAGAAAAAGTTTGTGAACCCTTAGGAATTATATGGATTTTTGCATGAATTGTGTGTGTTGTTTGTTAAATAAGACTGTCTTTATTAATTACTATAACTGAAGATCAGAAGATGAAGATCAGATCACATTTTAGGAGCCATTCACGCAGAAATTCAGATAATTCCAAAGGGTTCACAAACTTTTTCTCACAACTGTATGTGTGCTGTGGTGCATGAAAATGCGCTGAAAAAAAAAAGGAATGGCGATTTTTGTTAAGGGTTTTAACTATTTAAATTGTAATATGCAGCCATGGCAAGTTAAATTGAATTGATCATTTCTGTAGTTTTATTGTTGTTTAGCTGTTTCTGCTAATCATTCATGGGTTTTTTTGCATGTTACAATAGTACACAGATTTAAAAGGTAAGCAAAAAAAAGCTAAAAACAGAATTACAGCTTTTTTTCTTGAATGCTTCTTACTATACAATTTACAGCCACACTCTGGATTAGCTGCCCAATAAGATATTTTATGAACTTGAACTTCATTGCCATATGTAACCAGTACATGTACTGGTACAATGGAATTCTTACTTACAGAAAGTCTTTTAATTTTAAAAACAAGTGTAAAAACATAAAGTGCAGACAGTGCATCTAGACAATATACAAACAGTAGTCAATGTACAGGCAAACAAGTAAACAATTTGAATGTAAACAGTGCAGACATGTAAACAATGACTGGAGATGTGAAATAAATAAGAAATCATAATGAGGTAGATGGTGTAGGTGTGGTCTGAGTGGCATGGCTAAATGTGTTCGCCAATCACACTGCTTGTGGATAGAAGCTATTGAAAAATCTAGTGGTAAAGTCCGTATGCTTTTGTATCTCTTGCCTGAGGGCAGTGGGGTGAAGAGCTCATGCCCAGAGTGGTGACTGTCCTCTGTGATGGCCCGAATTCTACAACGACAGCGGTCCTCAAAGAGCTTTTTAATCTCGGTGAGATCACAGCCGATGATCTTCTAGGCCACATTCACCATTCTCTGCAGTGCCTTTGTTTCTTGAGAAGAGGTGTTGCCATATCACACAGTGATTCCGTTGGTGAGGGTCTCTCGATGATGCAGAAGTAGAAGTTCACCAACACAGGTACTGGCATCCCCCATCGTTTGAGGCACCTCAGGAAATAGAGACGCTGCTGAGCCTTCTTCAAGAAAATGTCCGTGTTCACAGTTCAGGTTAGGTCATTAGAAATGTGAATTCCCAAAAACCTAAAGCTGGTGACTGTTTCCACTTCCGTTCCATCAATACAGAGTGGGCTGTGAGTGTGTGGCCTGTGTCTCAGAAAGTTCACTATTAGCTCTTTCGTTTTATTTATGTTCAAGTCCAGGTTATTGCCATGATACCACCTAAGCAACTGTACAATTTCATCCCTGTAAGTGGACTCATCTATCTATATCATCGCTGATCAGGCCTGCTGTGCAGTCATGAGTAAATAGGGAGTACAACCTTGGACTCAGACAGCAGCTTTGTGGGGTTCCAGTGCTCAGGGTGAGTGGTGTTGATGTTTTATTACCTATCCGCACCACCTGTAGTCTCTCATTAGGAAGTCCAGCAGCCAGTTGCAGACAGAGTTGCTAATCCCCTGAGCTTTGTCACCAGTTGACTGGGTGTGATGGAATCAAATGCTGAACTGTAGTCCACAAACAGCATTCTGACATACGAGTTCTTAGTGTCCAGGTGTTCCAAGGCTGTATGTAAAGCCAGGGAGACAGCATCATCAACTGATCTGTTGTTCCCATAGGCGAACTGTAAGGGGTCCAGGGACTCTGTAATGGAGGAGTTGATGTGTGACAACACCAGCTTCTCCAGGCATTTCATTACCATAGATGTTAATGCAACTGGGCGGTAATTGTTCAGGCACGTCACTTTTGCCTTTTTGGGGAGTGGAACAATAGTGTTTTTTTTTAAGCATGTGGGGACAATGGACTGTGACAGGGAGGAGTTAGAGATGTTCGTAAACACTGTGGTCAGCTGGGCTGCACATGTCCTAAAGATGCAGGGTGGTATCCCATTAGGCCCTGCAGCCTTACAGATTTTCACCCTACTCGGAGTCTTCTGCACTTCCTGCTCTGAGTTATAGATTAATACAAAAGACAAAAAACATATTTTCAAAGATTTGACTTCTGGCTGGTAAACATTCAATATGTCCAGGGTGTATGCAATATATTATGTCCAAATAGTGCATTATGCCGAATACAATGAAAACTGTATGTCCATGTAGCCATTACGGGTGATTTGCTGAAGGAACACCAGGTTGGCTATTTAGAATTATTTATCGCCTGGAGGTAGAAGCTGTTCCATAATCTGTTAGTCTTCGACTGAATGCTTTGATACCATTTACTGGATGGCAGGAGAGAAATCAGTTTGTGACTGGGATGACCGGGGTCCTTGAGAATGGACCTGGACTTCTTAAGACATCTAGCTGAGTAGATATTCTGGTATTGGTAGCTCACAGCCGCTAATGAGCTGCTCTGACTTCACCACTCTCTGCAGTACTTTGCGATCCCAGACGGAGCAGTTCCCATAACAGGCAGTGATGCAACCAGTCAGGATACTCTCAATAGTGCACCTGTAGAAGCTGGCCTGGATATGCGATGGCATGCCGAACTTCTTTAGCCTGCGGAGAAAGAATAAGCGCTGCCATGGTGTTTTGACCACGATGTTGGTGTGGTGGGTCCAGGTTAAGTCCTCTGAGATGTTAACTCCCAAGAACTTAAAACTGCTGACCCTCTCAACTGCAGTCCCATTGATATAGATAGGTATGTGATCTCCTCCCTGGTATTTCCAATAGTCCACAATCATCTCCTTAGTCTTACTGATGTTCAGAGAGAGGTTATTCTCCGGGCACCATGCTGCCAGAGTTTCAACCTCCTCCCTGTACGCAGACTCTTCACCATCTGTGATCAGGCCAATGACTGTTCACAAACTTAATGATGGAGTTTGAGTTATGCCTTGCGACACAATCATGGGTAAATAAGGAGTAGAAGACAGGGCTAAGCACACAGCCTTGGGGGGCTCCAGTGTTTAGAGTCAGGGTAGAGGATATGTTGGTGCCCACTCTCACCGCCTGCAGATGTTCCATCAAGACGTCCAGGATCCAATTACAAAGGGAGATGTTCAGTCCCAGGTCCTGGAGCTTGATGACAAACTTTGAGGGCGCTATGATATGAGAGGGCAGTATGGAGGGCGGTGGCAGTAGCATCTTCTGTTGACCTGTTCTGGCGATACGCAAATTGCAGTGGGTCTAGGGTGTCAGGCAGTGAGGAAGTGATGTATGCTTTGACCAACCGCTCGAAACTGATGTGAGTGCAACTTAGCAGTAGTCATTCAGGCAGCCCTCATTCAGCCAGAGGGCTCTCCTACTCTGTCCTGTCCCTAGTTTCCTGTGCTTTGCTCTCCTTCCGGTCTCTCTCTCTCTGGGGCTATATATTTCCGGGTCACTTATTCTCCTGCGCTCAGCATTGACATTTGGAAGTCCTGAGACCCACCTAGCACCATGTCGCAACTCTGTCCGTGGCCTGAGGGCATAGGTTTCTACACAGCATTTCAAGAACTCTTTGCACAGATGAGCCCAGGCTAACTCCCCATTCTGCTGCTTCGCATAGGGTCTTTTTCCGCTCTCCCGCCATTCCACTATTCGTCCCTTCCGACATCCGTGACACTGGGTTTCTTAGGAACAGGGACAATGGTGGTTTTCTTAAAGCAGGAAGGAACTGTAGACTGAGCTAGAGAAAGAGTGAATATGTCCAAGAAGACATCTGCCAGCTGGTCTGCACATGCCTTCAGAACACGGCCACGGATGACATCAGGTCCAGGAGCCTTGTGTGGATTGGTCTTTTTAAAAACTTTACATACATCCGCTCTGGATATGATCAGTGGGCTTCCGTCTTGGATTTTCGGAATCCTCCTGGATGGATCTGCATTACCGACTCAAACTGAGGATAGAATGAATTTAGCTAATCAGGAAGAGAGTCAGACCGTTGTGTGATATAGCTGGGTTGCGTTTTGTAGTTTGTAATGATGCATACAGTATACCACTCCACATGTTCTATATGTTGCAGCCGTGATAATATGACTGTAATTAACTCGGTAGATGTATTTAGCTATTTTGATGGCTTTCCTGAGGTCGTATCTGGATTGTTTGTATCATCCATATCGCCAGAATTGAAAGCAGCTGTCTTGACTTTAAACACCAGTGAATTAATCACTTTGCAGCAATGTTAAATAATGCTGCTTCATTTTCTTTCTCGTTTGTTTTTCCTTTAAACTATATTTGTTTTTATTAAAGTTTCTTACATTCATTACATATTTACCTTCCTTAACTATTATTAATGTACATTTATTATTTCATGTCACACACGGTACCTTGTAAAAGTATTCACACTCTTCTAATACACATTTGTAAAGGAATATTTTAAAGCAAATTTTAAATGCTCAAGCTGAATACTTTTATGGGTGGACAAAGTTAGTCAGCAAAACATATGAAGGAAAAAATAATATAGTTTATTTTTGTTCCATAAGTATGCACTCCGCTGAGTCAAAATGTATACCAATTTTTTTGTCCATTCTTCTTTGCAAATTTGCTCCATATCTGTCAAGTTGGTCGGGTTTGAAGGACAGCAATTTTCAAAGATTTCCTATCAGAGTTAAAACATTTAATTGGACCAGTATTTGCTTTCTTATTTTAAGGTAACTCCAGTGTAGATTTAACTTTGTGCTTTAAGAAACTGCTGAAAGATTAATTTTCATCCCAGTTATAGTTCTTTAGCACATTAAAGAATGTTTTTCACTAAGATATGCCTGTACATTTCTCTATCCATTCTCTCCAAACTCTTGACAAGCTTCCCTATCCCTGCTGATGAGAAGCCGCATATTGTAATACAGCCAACCACCATGCTTGACAATAGGGATG